CCACACTCGATATTTTCTTCGGTTATTTTTTAGATTGAATAAAACCACATGTGATGAGAGCCAAACCAATTGAACACTTCCTCAATGTCACCATTACCTAACCAGTCACCATTACCTGTTCGCATTACATCACCAGGCATAAATCAGATTATCCGGCTACAAGTGTATCTAGTGAAAGAACAGTTCTTTCCTTGACATACATGTAGACTTAAATTTGAAAGGCATCGCCAAGCTCAAAGGCTTTTTAAGTTATAGATGTAGCCACCGGTTTGGGTAAAGGGCAAAATGTGCCAGAAACCAGCAGTGCCTTCAATGCAAGCAGCATGGGGGCTCCTTGGGTCATACAATCAGATCTTGTTGACTGGATTCATGGGGTATGAAGGTACTGACCTGCGGACAATAGCAGAGCAGGTTTGTTTGTTTACTACGGGTGTTTGGATATCGCTCTAGCCGTATTACATTGTATACACGCCACTGAAAGGCTCTGTACGTAGGCCAGGACACACAGAGGATGACGATGTTTCATGCGATGACGCCATACCGACTCATACATGTAGATGCCAGTGTGGATTCATGTAGGGTATTGCATCAATGCCTCCTCAGTCCTCAAGCCGAAGCATCTAAACTTTTAGGCATGAGTAGCCAGGCCTTTCCGGCGGGGCAGGGGCAGATGCAGTGTCCTGAGCAATGAATTGTTTGTGCCTGATGCAGTGTCGTGGTTCGAGGAAATCACGTGCGACATCACAGTACCAGTAAGCAATGACGACCAAATAAAAAAGAGAAATAACCATATTGCGGTATTGCGTAGCTTGTCTTTCCTTTTCCCTTCACCACCTGCACTTCTCCTTGGTTTCCCTTTTTCTCTCTGTCTATTCTCTTGTACCTTCTTGCTATTTCTTTGAAGTATTCACTTACATGTACGAGAGGCTTTGAATAAATCAATCATGGATTACAAATAAAAAAAGAGGCATCCCGATCTACAGTGCCATTGCTGCGCTCATCCATGCCTCTCTCGTTCAACGAGGGAAATGAGTAACACAAACACACACAAATACGCAAAACACACACGCGCACCACCATGGACAAAATAGCTACAACTTGCCATCGGTATATTTCCTGTTAGAAAAGAAGCGCCAATCGATCCTTACGTTATTATTTTGCTGTTCAATATTTAAAAAGGAATACTTCTGAAAGTCCCGAAACCCCAGGTCTGTGAATTATAGCATCGCTTTAAGCTATCGTGGAATAGAAAAGAGAATGTGACTCCAAAGACTCAGGTCTGGGTGCAGATGGCATTGATATTTTCAAGACTGGCCTATTTCATCGTGTACGTGAAATAGAAATCTGCAGTGCGACTCGTATGGAGATCCAGCCTGCTAGGTCAACCATAAGAGGTCCGATATTACACAGACAGAAGAACGAGCAGTTGCGGTTTCGTAACTCTGAGTTTCACGAACTGAATCGATCATCAGACGAAAATTGGTACTGGGAGGTCCAATATTATTGATCACTACGGTGAAAAGGGACAGTAATTGTTGCATAAGAAGTGCGATACTGATCATGATGAAGAAAAGGGGGACAGGGTTCGTAGAATCACTATTGTGAAGGTCTACTAGTACTTCATGACACTGTGCAATGCTCGCACTCTCACTAGCATGAAACCTTCACACAACTCATCACACGTTTCTCCCCATGATCTCACTGCAGGAGTCCACTCCACAGATCCACTCTCCTCTAGAGCACGCTACGCGTACATTTTACATAATCCATAAGCCAAATGGAATACTAGTAATTCATATACCACGCACATGTACCTGCACAATGTATTTATTTCTAGATCATCGAAAAATGGTTTTGAATTACCCCAAGGCTGGACATCGCATCGGCTGGAGACAGGGTTGACCCGCGGAACTCTTGGAGATTGCAAGCCAGATGAGCAGGTCTGTACCTTGGTGTTACTAACTTAGGTACATATAATGGAGTGAGAGGTCTTTCAGAGTGACTGAGTTGCTTCACCTTCCGAAAACACATGATTGTAAGTATGAAGAAGGGCTTCAGCTTCAGCTTCCTTTCACATGATTTTAAGTACTCATTTATAGGACAAGAATTACAACGCTGCTCATGACGCTCTCGGCAGCCAAATATTTACTCTCCGCTGACCATGGTTGACAGCAGAGTGAATGAATGTGTGCGACGATGTTGGTCCAACTGCTGAAGGACATTTGGAGTAACGCCCACGATTTCTTCGGTGACACAATGGGACAAGACTTAGTGACCAAACAACTTACTTCAAAAGTATTCTGGCCCAGCAATAGGATTCATAGGCCATTGTGATTCATGCAATGACTATTATTGCGACATTTGTGTCCCAGACTCGCAATAGTTCAAAAGGATTCTTACTAATCTGAGAAGGCACCCTTTCAGAACGCATGTATACATACTGAAGTAGATACAACACTACATGATAAACTTATGTATGGGATACTTGAGGTGCCTTTTGAAATGGCTTGGGCCAGACTCGTGATAGTACACATGGGAGCGCGGGACTAGCACAGTTAGAATCTCCAGCAGCCCTCTTATACACCCTTTTAAGTTTGTGTTTGAGCTTCACAAGTCTAAGGAGCCTTGATGCCTTGATTGGGACGGGAAAACACCACACACCTGAATGTGTACCAGTGGCTGATTCAGTGGCAAGCTGGAGATCGTGGTTGCATGCTCATAAACATGATGGCCCCATTGACAAACAGTGCGTTCAGGCTACATTGTACACTGACTGTCATGTATTTGGCTTGACGCCCGTGGCCCATTGCGGGAGAGTTGGGACGGTGAACTCATCGAGACAAGGGAGATACAACAACATTGGCAACAGCACAAGGGAGATTAGGTACTCACTCAATCTCTGGATAGCTGATTGACAGGAGGAGTATCTGCGCGAATAACTAGGTAATATAGCCATCACGAGAACTATTTTGGTCGTGATTTCTACATGGCTCGGGATTTAGAAGGAAACCAAGAACAACATCATCTCTTTCCCTAAAGACACCTGCCCTAAGATTTAAAGGGTTTTCGAAGTTTTTTTGTCCATTCCCCTGCAGGTGAGAAATCCGGAAGGTGAACACACCAGTCATTGTAAGGGTATAGCGGACCAGAACTGGGGTGAAACAGGTCTGTTCACCACAGGCATGATGTCCTGGTACATGACTACATTTACATGGCCTGCTTACTACACAAGAGATAGAGAGAGACAGGGGCAAAGCTTTGTTGCAACTCCGAGCTTCACGTTGTCGCGGTCATCAGGCAAGTGATAGCTCCAAAACGGGCTGCCTGAACATAAGCGGAAGCAAGGTGAGAAATACTGAGTGGAACCATAGCTTACAAGTCAGGTGCATGCGAGAAGTTGCTAAATCTTTAGATTTGGGGCCGTTTACTGGACAGATGGCCTCATAGTGACACAACTGCCGCGCTGGTGCCGGGATAATTGTTCCATCCGGAACAGTCCAACTACCGAGCTGACGTCTATTATGACCTTGTATGGCAAAGATCAGGCATACAGTGTACATGTCACATGGGCTAACAAGTGCAGATACAATCAGCACTGGTGCTAATCACACGGGTTTTCTTTGTCCCCATCACCATGATCACTGGCCACGTACCAAGATGATACAGTCATAGACATACTGCCGCTATGTCCGAGGTCTTACCAACGGGCTGTGGTGTCGTGGGACACACCAGTCACATAAATCATTGGTTAGAGGAAGAGTGCAGCCCAGAGCTAGCATACAACGGTCACGTGGAAAGGTAGCGACAGCAACAGCAGCAATATCACGTAAAATGAGGGTGCAGTTTAAATACAGCGAACTGACCATGGGTGAACCACGTATTCATGGCAGTGAGGAGTGACTAGGAGCAATGTATGCGTTTGCCCTCCATTCCTCTTTGACCCATGGCTGTTAGCAGCCAGTGCAGATTAAGCAGGGGAACTCTGGGTATGTAAAGGGTGTAGCGCTGTCCGTTTGTATCCGATAGTACTTAGTTGTTCTCTAGAACTCTCAATGCTGTTGGCACTGCTATTTCCTGCAGGCCTTGTACCACTTCCCGCGTGTGCGAAAGCTCGTCAAAACGCGCAAGCTAGCTTAGAGCTATAGGCGATCAAAGCCCATCAAGCAGATAGCAGCACGAAAATGGGGTACGAACGATCGTCCAAATACTCCGGACCGACTCGTCCAGAGTAGTACATGTCGCACGTGCGTGCACCATAAAAGAATAGCCAAATATACCAGCAATGAAAGGCGCAGTGCTGCGCCATTCAATAGTACGAACACTACATACTATACACGTACATATTGTATTCGTAGTGAAGTGAGTGCCAGAGTGTTTCTGATGCCGTGATGGTGAGCTGCGCTCTCCAGCGTCACGCGAGCAGAAAACATTGATGAATCTAGCACGTGCATCCGTGGACGGTATAGGGGTCGCTTAGGTACCAGCCAATCATGTACATACAATAATATACATGGCATTGTACAATGTAGCTGGGCTGGTAAGCACCGCATGCATGTACATGTAGGTCGAAAACAAAATGGAAGGGGAATACTTTCCGTCCGGGCAGCAATCTTGCAATCAATGCTAACATTCATGAGCTAAGGCTGTATTTTTCAATCGTTAGGGACAACCCAAACGTCAATTGCCTGCAGAATAGAGTACCGGTAGATGATGAAAATGTACGTTAGGACGAAAGTTAAGATACCTCCACGAAGGTATAAAAGACAAGAGAATTCACTCCAAGAAGGCAGAAGAAATTCGACAGCCACCATTTCAATTCCTCGGGACAAGAGTCCGGTAGAAATTGAGTAGAGCTTCACCCCGTTTCTTCTTGTCTGTAACTCAAACTGACTCTGAAAACCAGTACACACCTCTCGTGTGTTGAAGAAGATCAAGGAATGATGGCCTCTCAGTTAACTTTGCTCGGACGATGGCTAGTATTGCCTTGTATTTTGTGTATGATGGCTCAAGCAAACGCCAAGCCTCTAGATAGCTCCGGTGCTTACCCACCGACTACTAAGCCAGAGGAGATCAACACCGAAGTTGCCACGTACGCCCTGCCCGCGTCGCAGCTTTGTCCTCTCACGGGACATACTTACACCGACGTGTCCTTGTCCATGGCGTTCGTCTGCAAAACTAAACGTCGATACCAGAAGGTATTGTTTTAACGTTTACGCACATATTCGTGATGCAGCACGTGGTGCCACTTCTGCAGCTTCCGGAAATAGGATATTCTGTATACGACATGCGTTGATTTATGAATCGTTTGTATTATTTGTACTCGCCATTCTGGGTAGCGACAATCGATTAAGAA